AAGAAATTGTTAATAAAACTGACTTGGAGCTCAGCTAAAAGGAGATTAAGACTGCAACCGTAGACTTAGTAAGTAGCCTTAGAGTCCTTTTTCTAGTCATCTCAAGTGAGGAAGAAAACTTTATTTCTTTTAACTCCTACTTGTGCTTTAAATTGTTTAATTGTTGCAGCCACACTTCGAATGGTTTACCAATCTGCCTTCTGCTTCTTGGCTTTCACTTGCACTTTGTTCGTTTGTGGTTGTTGTTGTTGTTGCCAACTACCTAATTGTCTATTGGCATGGGGTGCATCTGTCAATCTGTGGACTGCGTGCTGCCGACCTGTGGCCAGTCTGGCGCTGCATCTTCTTCTGCTCCGCGTTTGTTTAATTTGCCAGATAGTTGCGCACACAGAAAGGTAAAATGAACAACAAATGCGGCGGCCGCCAATTAGACTTTGGCCGCAAGTGAATCGAGAAAATGAAACGATTATTCTATTACGGCCAATGGACAGACATTTCATTTTCATTTTCATTCATGGCGCTGCCACTGGCACTGCCGTTCTAAGTGTGATTTATGTCAATTGGTACATGACAAGACAATCGGCAAACAACGAGAGACTCAACGGCTGACCAACAGCAACGACTAACGACCCAACAAATGAACGACTGTCCGATCGTCCAACCGTTCGACAGTCTGACCATCCGACCAACCGCCCACGCGGCAGCTGCGAAAAGGCCAAGGCAAGTGATGGCACCCGCATTCACAGCACCACCGACTGCCACCGACTGAACCACCGACCGATCGAGCCAAGTTGTGGCGTTTCGCTGTTGGCATGCGATGCCATCGCTAACAATAATAATAATAGCAACAACAACAACAACTACTACTACTGCTACTACTAAACGTTAGACCCGAGAGGTCAAATTCTCTATTTTAATTGACAAACAGTGCGCTGTGCGTGCCACAGTCCCCCTCTTCTCTCCTCATCTCTCCTCTCCTCTTCTCTCCTTCACACTTCTGCAGCGCATTGCCAATCAATTCATTTACGTCGAGTCGACAAGCGCTTGATTGGCCAACGTCTTGCCCACCGCCGCCACCTTCCTATTTCCATTTCCCACTCACCACCTCCCACCTCCCACCGCCCATCTCTCACCTCGCAATGTCCAGTGGCCGGCGCTGCTGCAATGCTCGATTAATGAAATTAGACAATCAACTCGACTTGACTCGACTCGAGTCTCAAGTGCCGGGCCAAGAGCATTTTTAGTCAAAAAAAAAAAAAAACAACAACAACAAAATATACAAGGAAAGGAATTAAAATCACTTAATTAAATAATTTTTAATGTGCTCCACGCTATTGTTGTTGCTGTTGTTGTTGCTACCATTTGATTGCCATTGTCCAAAATTAATATTTTTACGGCTGCAATTGTGGAGCAAGTGTCGCTTTGAGTTATTAAAGAGTCCATTAAAATGTTTATTAATAAATGCTATTAACCATGAACGTAGAGTATTCCATCAGTTGAAAACGCCAAGAATTTGGACCACAGCATAGACACTGTGTATTTCTAAAGACAAAAGAAAGCTGAAGAAAAACCAAAACTGGCAAATATTTCTATTTCGCGCACAGGTTTGTCAAAGTTCTTCAAATAACATTGTATTTAAAACTCAAGTGTTGTAGTGAAAAAATATTCGGTGTTGGATTTTTGATTGAATTGAAGTTAATTTCATTTATTTGTGTGCAAATTATTTGTTTGTCTTTAACTTTAACAATTAAGTCGAACCACGCACGAAGCGGATCTTTATATGCAGCATATTTAGGATATATTTATCTATTATTAGCAACTATTTTGCAAATACTCTGAGGTACACATTTACTTGCAGAATTGCGTGAATTTGTGAGCAAATTATTTGTTTGTCTGACCACAGCTTAAATGACATGCTCAAGTCGAATGATGATGCACGAAGAGGAGCTTCATGTGCATTTTTCCAAATTCTCTAAACAATTCTCCACATATGTAATATCTGTAATACTTGCAATCGGTTAACTTAGACTTAAACTTAACTTAAATGTGTAATCAAAGCTAATGCAAATAGTGTAATCACTTTTATTTGATTCTTATTCCAAGGCCATGACATCAAATATACAAGTATGTGAACAAAAGTATGAATTTATTTTTCGTTCTGATAAGTGATAAAATCATAGACATTTGTCGATGTAGAGCGGAAAAGTGCATTATTTGTTATTAGATATATTGCTAATTATGAGCAGTTTCAGAGCTAAATTCCGAAACATTGAAAGCTTTCTAGTCTTGGCTTTGGAAATTTGAGAAACGCTGTTTAGAAATAGGGCCATTTTTATAACGTAGAGCTCTAGGTATAAAAGTAAAGCCTCATGTGTCTGTCAAGTTGTTGAAACACTGGGGCTTTATCGTTCAACTTCATTTAATCTGCAATCCCATGAGTGTGTTGTTTGCATAACAAACCGTGTGTACGAATAGATAATTGCTGCACTAGAGGGGGGAAGCAAGTAATCGTCGTAGCACGTCATTCAAGGGCTCCACAGCTCTTTAACAGCCCCTCTTGAACGACCCCCTTCCCCTTCCCCTGCCACTGGCGACGACCAACTCGGGGAGATGCATTTAAATCTGAACTGTTATCTGGCGAGAATAAACGGCATACAAATACTTTGTACTTGTATGCTAACATGTGCTGGCAATACTTGCAATAAATTTTGTGTCTACTAATGTGACACTTAAAACTTATCTGTCTGTGTGTGTGTGTGTGTGTGTGTGTGTGTGTGTGTGTGTGTGTGTGTGTGTGTGTGTGTACAACAAAGTCTTCATATTTATAGAATTCGCATCGCGGAATCTTAAACAATTGCGAAACAAAAACAAAAATCTTTCCGTGCAAATTAGCAACAACTTTGTATGCACATTTTTATTGACAAGCGGTTCAAAGCGCAAAAGTTGCATAAGAAACTATACATACTATGTACATAGTCGGCACAAGCCCCTCCTCCCTCCTCCCTCCTCCCCCCGCACCGCATCGCATCGAATGGGCTGCCTAATGAATGCATTTGAATCATCTAAGTGGGTGGACATTCATTTGTAAAAGGTCACGTAGTAGCGTAGTGGAGATTAGACACAGATACGGCTATTAGCCGCTTAGGCTAGGTTAGTTCTAACTCAGGTATACCCAGAAGTCGTTAGTTGGCTCACGTGGTCCAAGCGAAACTATATCGTATATTTATTAGCATTGTATTGTAGAATAGTCGTGGGATGCTGCTGAAATCAATATAATCGTAGTAGAAAAACTTAACGACCTTAAGTTACGAATTAGGCAACACGGAGATGAGCTGAACTATTTGCGTGTGGTCCCCAGATGCCGGATTTTGAGCGGACTTTGTATTCCCGGGTCATTCATTTGTAAAAGCAGCTCAACTGACTAACTTAACTACTTTTTTTGATGATATTTCTTAATATCTGTCCACCAAAGTACTATTCAAAAAGAAAAACGTTCTGAAAAGAAGTGCAGCAATTTAATTTTTCTAATAAATAACGGATTGAAATTAAAATAGTTTTACAAAGTAAACTCGTGTTGTCTGGAGATTAGCAGAGTATAGAGTATAGCGAGTTTGATTTATGTGGACTCAGCCGTTTCCGAAATCCATTCGTTCATCCAGACAAACAGATGTACCTGTCCAGATCGAGTTGTCTTCTCCTGCAGATTGGGAATTTATTTATTTTTTTATGCCTGTTATATGCTTTGTGAAAATATAATATACCCCATTTACATTTATAAGTAGTATTTCTTGTACATACTTAGTTTTTGGAAAATAAGTTTAAATACATTCTTTCTCACTCATCACGGCGCTTTTATTGCGATTTGTCTTCAGCTTGATTATGGCTCTAATCGAATTATATCATATATCGTGCTGGGGCTTTTGTTTGTTTGTTTGTTTTAGGCGGCTGCCACTGTATTAAGCTAAATGAATACAAGTATAAAAAATTGCCGCTAATTGTCACTAATTGGGTTTTTTGCACATTTCAATGAGAAATTTTGCGAAAATTCACACAAAATATCCAAACAGCAGCCATTCTCTTGGATGGCTCGCTCTTCTTCTTTTATTGTTTCTTCTTCTTCATCTTTCTGTTATGTGTTTTATTTTTTTGGTTTGTTGTTGTTTCTGTTTTGCGCTTCTTTTTTTGGCACTAAAAGAAATTGATGCCAGTGAACGGGAAAAAGGCAAGGAATTGGAAATACACAGAAAATGATTGAAAACGCAAACACAGCCTCTGCAAACTTGTACTCGCAGCGGGTCGTGCATTTTTGGCAGGCACTGTTGATACAAAGACAATGTGTAAGATGTGACTGCAAAGCGACAAGAAGCAAAAGAATGAACAACTAACCAATATGACAAAGTTAAACAGCTAAAAGGCAGCCAAAATCCAAATAAACAAAAAGTCGTCGTGGTCTTTGCTTTTAAGATTTAAGCCAAATTAATGGACAGGCTAAAAATTGGCGTGCGTGTGTGTGTGTGTGTGTGTGTGGTGTTTGCCTAAAAAATTTTAGCTACTTACGCGCTTGTTTTTTTTGTTGTTGCCTCTGTTGTTGTTGCTATTATTGCCGCTGCTGCTGTTATTTTAACGATGAATCATGAGCCGCCTTTGCCAATTTTGGTGGCGGCGGCGGAGACGGGGGCGGTACGTGAGGCGCAGGCTAATCAATAATCATCATCAGTCTTACAAACAACGATGTATGTACATTCTCGCACAGACAGACCATTCAACAAATATCTCAGGGGGGTGTCTCAGTTTATGCATAATGGATAACTATAAGCTGTAATTATTGATGAGCGGCAGAGACTTAAATTTCACAAAATTGTTATTGCTGTAAGCGTTGTTAATCGACATTAACAAATGCCAGCAATACAATTGCTCGTCTCTAATGCCAACTAATAAATACGTTAATATTTGAGCGCGTAATGCTAATGCCAAATTTTTCATTTTCTATGTCATTGCAGGTGTGCCTTCCATTGAAATCGAAAGGTAAGTTCTAGAATACAACCTCTAGAGACGTTCATATTTCTGATCGACCATTGATTAATTGATTCTTAAATATGTTTTCAAATAATGTGTTCGCTTAGGACATCCTAACTAAGGCTAAAAACAACTCAGATAGCGCGGGAACTAGCATATGCATATGCCTTCTAAAACACTATCATTAAGCTTTTAACTAAAGAGCAGGTATTATTATTCACGAATTATTTCCCTAAATATTGGAAATGAAATTAATTGCAGTTTCTGAGCACAATACTTGTAGAAGTAGAGATGAGTCTAAATAAAAAATTGCATACTGGTATTTCTGCAAGTCATTTAGATTTGTAATCGCTTCGTACAACCGTATTCCTATAATAAAGGTCATTTTCTTTGAAAAACAATATTTTTTCCATCTCTTAGGTTTGATATACGACTTGTTGCTTTCTTTTAACATTCCTTTTGTTTCATCTACCTTCTTAAAAGTGGACCTAAATTATTTGCAGCAATACAATTAGTATTTAGTGCCGCTAAATACTTCATTCATTTCGATTTGCTTTCGATTTTCAAATCAAGTAAAGTAAACATTTTCATTCAATTATTTGTTATTAAAATCGTGATAAATTATGGACATACACATATATGTATATTTACACATTTTTTCAGTATAAAATTCGTACTACACACCCATTTGTGTCGGCGATAGGGCTGTGGATGCCTCTAGAATTGATCTAAATCGTTTGTGCCAACGAACTTTTTACTTTTCAATACGGACGAGGCAGAAAATGTAAACAATTCAAATAATGTAACCACAACATCGGGCTATAAATACACGCCCAAATAGACAGACGCAAGACGCAGCTTCCTGCGGCAGAGAAGCCGAATATTACTCATACGCCATGTTGTGTCGAAGACAAACATAAGCAACACACACCGCACATCTTGTGGCATGTACGTGTATGTCTCATGAACCAATGTGTTTGTTCGCCCCCACCTCCTCGCTCTAGCCCTCTGCCAGTCGTTCAAGTCAAATCAAGCGAAATCAATCAAAGACAGCAAATTTTCAGCACGCAATCAATTCATAACAAGCAGGGCATAGAATCTCATTCTGCGGTTTCTGCTTGTCGCGTGGGCCTTTTGTGGCATTTGCGTCACACGACAAGGTGCGGCAAGGCCGGCTGTTGTTAATTGTGGATTTGGTCAAAACGAAAACGAAAAAGAAAAAGCAGAAAACAAAAAACACCCAAAACATTTCACTGATATTGAGAAGATATGTTACATACATAGTATAGTTGGTTAATCGTTTTGGAACATCTGCTTCAAATGAATGGGAAGTGCCGCAAAAGCACAGCGAGAATAAAATTCTGGTTATCAGTAGTAACTACGATATGGACGGAGGAAGACTCAACTTTTTAGTCATCGAACAATTTTTCATTAAAATCGACTTTGAAGCACTACGTCTTAAACGTCATTCTCCCTTCCATTGGTAATCACTGAAGCACAAGAATTGATTTTAATTCTTACTTATATTTATCAAATGAACATACTAATTGCTCAAGATATTTACATATAAAGTCAAAACTAACTCTAAACTGCACAATTTTTGTTTGTGCCAAACGATTTTAAGAATTTCAAACAAAATACAAATCTGAAAAAGTTTAAATTTAATTAAAATCACAAAATAGATTATCTTTCTTGGCAATTCAAAGAGTCTTCAAAACATTTCCCACATTTTAAGCCCATATGGGATAACAATTCCAAGAAGCTTTTGACAAGAAGTGTGCATCGAAAGGTAAAAATTAAACAAATTTTATTTAAAGTCGTCAATTTGTGTTTCTCCAAACGATGCTAAAGCGTTTCTTCCATGGAAAAGGAACTCGCAAATTCGCAAGTTTTCACTTTCCGCCAGCTTTATTATTTTTATTTTTTTTGACGAATTTTGCCGACAATTTCATTTCTTTTTCTGCGCTAGCATTGCAATGCTGGTTGGGGGCCTTCGAGACAATTGGGCGCCAGTGTCTTTATATATCTAATGGCTTTATTCTTGTTGCTGCTGCTGTGTGTGTTTGGCTTCCGTGTGGTTGTTATTGTTGCTGTCAATGGAATGTGTGGGAGAAAGAGAGAGACGAGAATAATAATGATAAGTAAGTTGAAGGCAAATCAATCACAGCGTCAAGACAAAAATCTGCGCCTGAGTTACGCGCAATTTAACCTGTCTGCCAATTTGTAGGCACTCTAACCACTCGCTAGCATTCAGCATAACCACCTCAGCATAACCACCGCTTGCTGCTTGCTGATTCGCACCTCAAGCCCCTCTCCCATAGTGCTCTATGCTGGGGCGCACAATTATCATAATTGCACAGCGAACATGGACGCAGCACCCCCTCCCCCCCTAAGTTGAAATGATAATGTCGGCGCCAGCATTTCCGCTTTTATTAACGCCCGACCCGCTCGTTGGTCGCTGGGTCGTTTGCTCGTTTGGTCGTTTGGTCGGTCGGGCCAGGCCAAGCCAAGCCAAGCCACTGCTTAAACACACCCAGCAAGTGTATGTGTGTTTGTGTGTGTGTGTGTGTGTGTGTGTGTGTGTGTGTGTGCACCACACATAGTGGCTGCCTGACACGCACAATTAAGTGCCACCCACTCAGACTGTCATTTGGCTTGTTCAAGGATAACGCCAACGATGACTACGACGCCAGCGTATTCGTATTCTCTGCTCTCTGCATATTTTTGTTCGTTTGTTGCTGTTGCTGTTGCCGTTGCCGTTGTCCACATTCGTTTTTTCTTTACATTTGGCGCTGCTTTCAAAATCAAATCAAATAAAATAAAATTTACTACGCTCACGCACGCGTCGTGCTCTTCGCCTGCGCTCTTTACTCTCCTTGCTAGCCACCTTACCACCTCCAGCTTCTCATCCTCATCCTCACCCTCCCCCTCCCCATCCTCCTCCTGCGTCAAACTCTGTCCAAAGTGAAATTAAATGGCACGAAATGCGTTGGGCGTCGACATCTACGTCGACGCTGACGCCGACGCCGGCGCCGACGTCAATATCAGCGTCGACATCGGCGTGGACGTCGACGTCGGCGTCGCTCATTTCATGGCAGCGATTTCGGTCGATGTTTTTGGGTTTTTATGTTCTGATTTTCGTCTTGCGACTATTTTTATTTCTATTTAACATTTTCATTTCCGTTTCGTCTTAATGCACTTGACCTTCAGCCAACACACACACTTGGCAAGCTTCCTTCCTTCGTTTTTTGTTTTTGTTTTTGTTTTTTGTTGAACGCATCCCAGGCATACTATATGTATATGTATATGTATGTATGGTTCATAGGTACTATATCCCCAATGCAATTGCAACTTGCAGGCACGAAAGCAACGAAAAAAGACGGCCATCCACACAGTGGAGCAAATAATCGCAAGTTGGCTTTAATTTTGAGGGCAATAAAAATACGTCAACAACTATCGCCTTAAACATTTAAAATATGGCGTCTACGAAAAGAATTCAAAATGAGGAACTCATGAAAAATGCAAGATTAAGTGTAAAATATTGAAATATTTCTGCCATCAGCACACTATTTTCGAAATATTCATCACTGTCAGCAATCTGAGTAACAAATTGTATGTTATTTACAAAGAATGCAATTACAAATAACAATCATCCAACTAAATATATTTTAATAGCTATAGCATTCAGGCCTCAAGCTAAGAGTTGTATATAAATAATTACTTAGGTGTTGGAGTAAAACTAAATCTAGATTTCAGCAATTAGTTGGCATCGATAATAAATTTGTGTAGGGAGAGAAGGGAGTGTATGATAGACCCTTAAAGAATTAATAATTCCAAAATATCTAACAGAAATATCTACAATTAAAGAATATCTTGGGCTGATAGGTATTTCTTATTATACACAGTGTAGTTGGAAAAGAAAAGTTTCCTTGCGTCGTTAAATGGCGAACTAAACCTTTAGAAATCGCAATCTTTATCTTTCAAAAGCTATGGTATTACAATTTTGGCAACAAAAAGGACAGAGACGAGACATTTATTAAAAATGAAAACATTTTTTTTTCTAAATTAGCTTTAAAGAAGCCAGCTGTTCAAAGGCTTCTTCCCACCTTTCTAATGAACGAATGACTTTCCACTCTCCTATAGCTCTAAATATTTAAAATTTCCAAACTGTTTATTATTTTCTGTGCACATAACGATTTCTTTCGACTGGACTATCTACATTTTGTTGGTCGATGCGCCGCATGGGAGCAAATAATGCGGGTATGCGAAAAAATGTCACTTGGTTGTTATATCGCAAATGGGTATGTAAAATCAATTCCATGCAGAAGGCAATACGTTCAGGATGTTGCGTGCCCAATGTGCCTTGACACACACACACACACACACACACACACGCACACACAGTTAAATGGCAAAGGACAATATGGCTGGAGCCTGGCCTGGCCTTGTCTGACTTACTTACACGCAATGTTCAGGCATTGTTCTTGTCATTGTTGTTGCCTAACATTGTAAATTTTCAATGTAAATTCCATTAGGATTATGTTACCAAGCACACACACACACACACACACACACACACACACACACACACACACACACACACACACACACACACAGAGAGAGACACACACATGCCGATGGGTATAGATACGTAGGGAAGCCAGAAAAGTTTTGTGCGCACAAAGTAAGAAAATTTCATTTCATTTTGGCAAGCAGAAATTATCCTTAAAAGTGAGAAGGACAAAAGCAGAAATGGATTAGGGCCAAGCTGTGAGCCGTGTGTGGAAACCTGCCACATGCCAGGCAACTGCTAAAGGCGTTGGCTCACACACACACACACACACACACAGACACACACATATGTATGAGCACTTAAGCGACGCTTGGCGCTGTGCGTGTTAAATAAATACTTGGATATGTGTCAAGGACATGCGGCGACAGTTGTGGCGCGCTCACATGTGAGTGTGTGCGACACTCTCTACAGGCGTGCCTCGCTGCAGTTAACGGTT